AAAGCCACTCGGGTGTCCCTGGTCTGTTGGGGGGGTCCAGCAGCTTTGCTGGACCCCCCCAGCAGACCAGGGAGACTGGGAGAAGCTTTTCTCGCCCTGGAGGACATGGGTGGCGACCCGCCGCCCGTGAGCTCCGGGGCGAGAAAAGCCCCGTTCATAAGTGCGGATCCGGCGTAAGTCGGGGACTGCCTGTACTGTAATTGTAATAAAATGCTATGGGTGTTTTATTTAAAAGTAACACTGTTTACACAGACAGACTGAAATATACATCATTTCAGTTTAGTATGAGGAATAAATTTTAGCAATTACAGCAGTCTGTCTTCAAATGTAATATTAAAATGTGACTAATGACAGATGACATAGTGACCTTAATAAATGGTGCCTGCAGCCAGTGTTGCTTTCATGAATTCAGGCAGCATTCATGAATTTGGGATCAGAGGGAGCCTCTGGACCTACAAACTTTGGATGGGGGAAACATTACCCAGAAAGTGCTGGAGGTAGCATTGAATAGGCAAGGAACATTCCACGCAGGGAGAGAAAAGATTAGATGTAGGAAAGAGGGTGGTGAAAGGACTTTGGTTGCATCAGATCCAGCTTCTATTGAGTTTCAGTCCACTCCTATTTGTACCCGTAATCTATGGGTCATTTTGCAACTGCTTGTCTTTCACCTAACAGTTCTGGGAAACAATTGCTTATCTTTCTGTGGCAGTCCTGGACTGGTGCACCAGGCAACCGGCAGTTCCCAAGTAGGCCATTTTACCAGCTTAGCTAGAGGGAGCACTCCAGCAGGGGCAGCTGCTTACTGAATGCTGAACTGCCCCTACCTAGATGCTGGCTAGCTATGGGAGCAGAGCTAAGCAACACTGCGCCACAGCACCATCTACACACTGCTTGGAAACACTGCAGTCTAGGTCCAGTCATGTTGCAGCCGATTCTGCCAGTAGAGCCCAGTCGCTCTGGTATATTTCCCTCTTCTTTGCCTCCTCTCTAGATGAAATTTTCCAAGTGTGTTCACTCTTCACCCAAACCTAAGTCTCTCAGTACCTCTGAATCATTGTCATTGCTCCACCAGTTACAAGAATCTAGAAATCACAGAGATTGCCAGATTAGCTAAGGAATTCTCTTCAGAATAACCAAGTGTGTTAGATTTACCTTTGTCAGCTGCAGCAGTTTGTTTATCGCTGTCATAACAGCCAGGTATATAGTGAAGCTTGTTTACCATAAACACTCTAGAGAACACACAAGGGGAGAGAACGTTTAAGTCTTTTAGCTCAAACAAAAGACTGCTTTATTTCTATAAACTTGTGTAAGAAAATACATTTGCAGCATTCTTTACCTTGTCATTGGTCAGTTTTTGTTATTTAAAGTATATAAATCTGTTTACATTTTTTTTATGCCATTGCCCATTACAAGAACAGAGCACGGTGGTCCATCTGGTTTGGTATCCTGTCTCTCACAAGCTGCTTTGAAAGAAGAAACCTTTGGGAAATAAGCACAACGAATGGACTGTTCTTTTCTCTGGTGCTTAGAACACTCATTACGCTCTAGCTGGTCATTAAGGCATGCCTTTTCAAAATGTTACTTGCCATTCTAGTTCTATAGTGGTTTAACAGGATTTGTATGTGTCTCTAGGAGCAGGATCACAGGAGGCAGTTCTTAATTCTTGGAGACAGTTAGCAAGATCCTGAGTGAAAGGAAAAATTAATTTCTGGCTCATCAGCCAGGCAGAGCAGGTCAGCTCCTTAGGCACTTAGATCCACCTCTTCTCTCCTCCCTCCCCCACTCCTACCTAGCTCAGGTGACATGTGAAAACTTTGTTTAAGGTCTTAACTATCCCCAAGAAATCTAAAGGGAACCTAGGTAGCATAGAGTCACCTAACTTGGGTTCAACATTTCCACTAAGCCACCCAGAGGTTGTGTTGGTGCACTCAGCTGCTGAATCATTAAATCCCTTTAAAAATCCAGCCCTGAGTGCCTAAAACATTTTTGATAATGGGACTTAGATGCCTAAATCCTTGAGGTACTTTGGAATATTTTACCCTAAATCTTGCTGTGTCTGGCATTGTGAGATAGAAGATCCCTGTTCAATTACAAAAACTTGACAGCCAGGCAAGATTCTCCATTGACGGACAGGACAATGTCAGTGTCTGAATGGGAGTAGCATGAGTTCTTAGAGCATGGTGCTGACAGTACTAACTGTCTGGTAAGGTGGAAAGACACCCCATTAACCAAATTGGTGATCCTCTGTCCTTTAGAGACATGGTGCACAGGCCACCAAGCCTTCCCTGTCAATCTCTCAAAGATCCTGCTCCGAGTGAAAGTTCACTACATCTTCTGTTTCCTTCTCTTGGAAACTAGTGCAGCAGAAGGCAAGTTTCAAATTTGCTACAATCCTATCAAGGAATAGATTCATCATAAAGTTCATAAAACTTTCAATTAATGTTCCAGAACCTACTTCATTTCCAAAGTCTGTATTCCAGCCTGCCCCCTCATGCAATCCCACCTCTTCTCCATTGGTACACCAGTCTCGTACAGACATATCCCTGCCTGTTCTTGTGATCTAACATGGATGTAATTTACCTGGGCAGTATCTAGACACTACAGAAAAGCCTCAGAGCAAAGAATTATAGTGGGACTATAGCAGATGGAGCCCAGAGTTCATGCGTCAACTGTTCATGTATGTATGTAGTGTGTTCCAGACCCATATATGGAGAGGGAGACAGGGAAGATGCAGGATGGAAAACAGTCCATGATATGAGGATGATAGTAGTTTTTACAATGAATAGAAAGCCTGTATATGCCATCTACGGCAAATAAGACTATACAGCAGCAAAAATTAGGTTGGTGCTGCAGCTATGTCTGAGAATTCATAACATTTAGGCATTTAAAGTCTCACCTACAATTGTAGTGTGAAATCCTAGTCCCACTAAAGTCAGTGGCAAAATTCCCATTGATTTCAATGTGGCCTGGATTTCTCCCTTAAGGAACTTTTTTCCCCCTAAGATAATATATTTTTACTCTTTAGTCTGCATTGTAAGAGTTTGTTTTTCTTGTTTTTAAAAGGAACATGGTGGATTTTAGTTCTTATAATTAGGCCATTGGTTACATAAAGGGACCCCTTTTATACACCCATCTATTAGGGATCCCCTGTCTGACATAGTCTCAACTCCCATATAATAAACTCAGACTTGAGGCAATTACTAAGCTACTGAATGTCTTTCAATACTGTATTTCTAATTAAGGACATGATTCATGTACATGTTTTGGCTCTGTCAGACAACAAATACTAGCAGATGTTTTCCATCAGAACCAAGATTAATCAGAATAAACAATTACATCACATTCTCTCACCAGCTTGTAAAAACGTGCTATTGTGGCAAACTACATTTGCTTCCATCAAACAGTAAGGATGTTGAAACAAGACACACAATGTTTTTGACCTTCATGTATTTTTTTGAGATTTCTTGATGGATGGCTCCTTTTTTCTGTTAGATTTGAATAAGGATTTCATAAAAAATGGATTTTTATAATAAGCATGTACTCTGCAAATGTTTCCATCTTCTAGCATAGTGTAAATTTTAATACTAAGGTACAGTTCAATACCACACTACTAATTGCTGCTCTTCTAACAAACCCAGAAGCACTTGGAGAGGACATAAATGTGAAAGGTTAACCAGTTACCCTGTTATTGGGTAATGCTTACCAGTTCTGGATAACTAGAAACTGGTGGGAGCTGGAGCAGTGCCCTGCTTACTGCAGGCAGGGGGCTGTTCCATACCCGAAGGGGCCCATCGCAGACAGAGGCTGCTCCGGAGGAGAGCATTCCCTGTCTATAGCAGGCCCAGGACCCCACAGGGAGGAGCTGATGGCAGCCACAGCACAGAGCCTTGTGGGCTGGGGGCTCCTCCATCTTGGCTGGAGTGGTCCCCAGCCCAGATCCTGCTTAGTCAGTTAACTGGTGAGTTAACCAGATGATTAACTGATTAACAGGGATTTTATAGCCCTAGAAGAGAAACACTAAAGCCTGCCCCATGATCACATGAATGTAATGCCTGAAATGTGAAAGCTGTCTGACTCAAGAGCCCTAGAAGAGAAACACTAAAGCCTGTCCCATGATCACATGAATGTAATACCTGAAATGTGAAAGCTGTCTGACTCATTAAACTGGTAAATGTGTATATATACATGCATGGATGTCCAATTCTTTAACTTATAAACTTGAATAGTAAAGCAATGATAAAATAATTCCAGTTTAGCAGTCTGATGACATCATAAAGAATATGAGCCCTTGTAGTTTATGATCTCATTAGAAATCCTTGTTGCTGTTACTTACTAGCTGTTCCCATTCCAGGACTGAAAATGAAGTATGACTAGCTTAATCCTGGCTGTTAAACAAAACCTGACAAATTTGATTAGGAGATCTTTTTATGAGGCATTCTGTGGCAGTCAGGTTGCATCAGGGCTGGCTTTACCATGAGGTGAACTGAGGTGGCTGCCTCAGGTGCCAGACTGTATGTGGGGAGGAGAGGGGAGAGGCATGCACCACTAAGACCCAGAGTGTAGAAAATTGTGTCTGCTGCTGGTGCATATGTAGGAAGCAGAGCAGTACCATGAGAGAAGAACAGAAAGTCGGCAGAATTGAGACCTTTCAAAGTTTTGTCCCAAGCAAGGGGGCATGAAGGTGTTGTTTGAGCTCCCCGCCTCAAGTGCCAAAATGTTGTAGGCCAGCCCTGGGTTGCATTCTAGTTTAGTATGTTAAATTCTTCTTTGAAGAAGAGGTGAAGAATAAGAGAGACCTAGTGTAGTAAGCCTCTCCTAGCTTCTACCTCTAGGAAGAATTTATTTTTCCATTCAAAGAACGACATATTGGAGGCTCTACTAAATAGGAATAAGCCTTACTCTGGTGGATGAGGTCTGTTTATCCTGGTAGGAGAGGAAGGTTTGGCCCTCCAGCTTGCAGGTTCAGGCAGTTCCTTTTTTCCATAACTAGCAGAATATGTTGTTGCACAGTTGGCCTGCCTTTGAGCTTCTCGTTTCCACGCTTCCCCGGCATGGCGCTGGATTTCTTCAAAAGCTTGAGGGGAAAGGGGACTAAATGGCAAAGGCAGTTCAGGAGCTAAAAAGAGATAGCTCATCCTAGGTGCAGCTCATGGATTCTGAGCAGAAACTGTACATTACATTAGGAACAACTTTCCTCTGCTGATGAGTGCTAGAGGTGACTGAACCTAACTTTCATAAGGTTAAGGAAAATGAAAATGCTTTGCTGCTGTTGATAAAAGTTGCTAAGCAACAGGTCATAAAAACTCCACCAGGATTACAACCAGCAAAAGAAGAAAAAGTAATTAGAAAACAACAAACTGGACTTCTAAAATATATGTACATACTTCCTGTTAGGAAATATGACTTCAGTTAGGGCATTGGTTATGCGTGCCGTGACTATTTTCTTATTATGTATGTACTAGCATCATCAGCCTTCACAGTCATTCAAAGTACAGGTCAGCTGAATTATCTCCCCTTTGACACTTCCGTTGGGGAAGGGGTGATCATAGCAAAAATGAGAAAGGAAGTGAAAAATAGCAGATAAAACTATGTAATAGGAAAATATACAGTAATAGATACAAAAATAAGCACCCTTAAAATGAACTTAAATTTATGTAAATAAGAATAAAGTCTAAGGCTTAGCTAATTATCTTACAGTAGTTTGGCAATAAGGGGGGCATTTATTTTTTAGTGTCAGCTACTGTGGAGCACTCAATATAAAAGTTCTCATTTTTGTCACAGGTAAATAGACAAAAATGTCCTCAAACATCTAAAATCTGATTACTTCAGTCTCTTTCTAGCAAGACAGTGATTTTTAATCTCCCTTTGGTTCTTAAAGGACATTTTCTTTTCAACTGTGCCACTTGGCAGATGAACACAATAAGGACTAAATAGATGTGGAGACTGAAATAATCATTCTATCTTTAGTGTAGTCCATACAACCCAGGAATTAAACAAATTTGCAGTGATCCCTACCTCCATCATAAGCAGGAATTTTAATATTTGGTCAACACTCCTGTTTCAGCCTATTGTGCATACCACATTTCTCCTTATTTGTTTGTCTTCCTATTTGCTGTTTAGCAAGATTTTAAATTGCGATGGTAATAAGGAACATTATAGATATAGTATAATTCCAAGATATTATTGAAAATGTTATTTTCAGTTGTTTGCACTTTTTAAGGAAAAAAAGTTGTAATCAACTTTAAGAGAACGAGGACTACGTTTTAAGATACTTTTACAATATCTTTTGAAGAGTAGATTTAGAATCTGAACATTTGGCAAGCACGGAGTTGTCCACCTGCTGGTAATTTGTAAAAACTGGCTGTTGATTGTCAAAGTTGTAAAGATTTAAAAGCATATTTTGTGCTTGCACATCACATTCAATTGCATACTTATAAAAATAGGAGTTATTTTATTTGTATTGCAATAGTACTCAGATGCCCCAACTGAGATCACAACCCCATTGTACAAAAAAGACGAGAGGCTGCAAAACAGCTTGATCGAGCACTATTTGAGAAACGGTATGTGACATCATAAAACTGAATATACAGATGCCAGAAAGGGTGGAATTCAAGTTATACAGCTGCCCTGAGATTTGTAACGTCCTGGTTTAAATGGTTTACTTTGCCAATTTTTTGTATGAACTCTATTATCCAGCTGTTAGGGAAAATATGTATTCAAGGAAATCTATGGAAATCATACTATGTAAAGATTCACTTTTTATTCCAGAAAATGAAGAAAAGGGGAGATGTAGATTTTCTTTGAACACCCATGAAAAATAGAATAAAAAAATGTGGAGTTAGGGAGAAAACGATTGTTTACACTGCAGTGTGGAGGATGCCCATTCCATAGCAAGAGCTGGCTACTTTTTAAAGCAAACATTAGGAAGAGTTCTCCAAGATTAAAAAAATAATTTCATTTACAAGACAGTAGCTTCAGCAAACAAAAAGGAAGTGGGTCAGTGCAGTGAGTAGTTCTGCACAAATAAGGAACATTGAAATGTACAAGAGCCCCCGCTTCTAAGGAGGAATATGGAACTTCGCATGCAGCCCGGAGTCAGCAAGGAGTCCTGCTGACTCCAGGCTGCAAGCGGGCGTGCCAGCTTTGAAACGTACAAGAGTCCCCAGCAGTGGCTCTTGTGCATTTCAAAGCAGAAGTGCCCTCATTGGGCCTGGACTTAGCGGGGGACTCAGAGTCCCCGCTGACTCTGGGCGCCATGCAGAGCCTGGGATCAGTTGACCCTGGGGTCCACTCAGCAATTCCACAGAACCCAGGATCAGCTGGGGAGTCCCCAGTTGACCCTGGGCTCCACGCAAATGCCACAGCAGCATTTCAAAGAGGAAGCGCTCCCCAGCTGACCCCGAACTCAGCTGTGCAGCGCTGCCCCTTTTTGAAATGCCAGCTCTGTTTTAAAGCTGCTCTGTTGGGCAGTGCTGCACTACTGAGTCCTGACTCAGCTGTGTGGCACTGCCACTTTGAAGTAATGCCCTCCTCCTTCCCTCCCCACTGCCCACACCTTTGCTGCCTCTAGCTGATAGCCGCAGCAAGGGGGAGGATCGACCTAATTGACTCGATTATCCGATAAGCATTTGCTTATCGGATAGTCGACTAGTCCTTAACATCCTTAATTTTTTATAACACTAAGAACAGGTTATGTTCAGGTAATTATGCAGCACCTAATTCTTTTGCTGGCAACATCACCCCTGCTGCAACTACTGCTATATCAAAGCTGAAATCTGTAGTGTGGATTCCATCGAACTTTGGCCACAACAGTGGGCTTAAACCGCAGAAGATTCCAAAAGCAGTAAGCTATGTTATACCACAGATGTTTTTAAACAACTATTTTGTTGTGGAAATGAGACTTATCCTTTAACAAGCTTACACAGTAGTGTTGACTTAAAAAAATTTACATGGTCTGAATAACTTACCAAAACCTTAAACAGATGTCCTCTGCAGAAAAAGAGATACAGATAAGCCCAAGAGTAATTTCAGTTACATACAAAATGATGAGAGGTGTATGTTTATATGCTACATATTGGAGCTTCACTGATATATTAAGTGCTGGAGTATTTGGAACAAAGGAAAACAAATCAACTAGCTTACTGTGACTGATGGTACCACAAAGTTTAATAATTTCTATTATAATCTCAATAAAAGCTTTAAAACACCCTTCACTATGCTGTATACAAATAAGAGTGTTATAAATGCACATTTAAATCTTTCTAGTCTGGCACACTCTGGTCCGGCATGGTTTTAGTTGGCCACACTCATGATAAGTGGACATTCAGCTAAGTTTCCCCACAGTCCCATAAAGTTTGTTTACAGCCACCAGTCCTGGCTCTCAATGTTCTGTGCTGTTATTTAGTTTTAATTTACCACTAAATGTCTTCTAAGGACCCAAAAAGCAGTGGAAATGTTAGTAATGCTGCCAGATAATACTAACCTCCTGTGGGTTCAACCAATTCTCTGGTTCAGCACCAGTCACGTCCCGAGGGTGCTGGACTAGAGAGGTTCAACCTGTAGTCCCAGAACCTAGTTTTGTTCCCCATGTGTATTATCTTTGCCTGAGTCAGAAAATAAATTGTCTGTGCAAGTATGTTGCAGCAATAAAAATCTGAAACCTTGCTTAGGAAAAGTGTATTTAATGTTTAAATAATTTGTGCAAATTGATCAGTGGACACAGTAGAACATGGTATCTTAAAGTCCATCTTTGAATGCTTTCAGCAATAGGTCTGCTGCCAGCCCTGGAGCCAACACACCACTGAGAACCTTTTCTTCTAAAAGTGGAATCTTATCCCTCACTGCCAAATGACTCCGAAAATGGTCCAGCATATTTTCTTGGATTAGGTTCCACATCCACACTTTCTGCTGTTTTCGTCGTTTGGTGATCAACTCACCACTTGTAAGCATGAGGTCATGAAATTCCATCATCTTATCCCACATATCTGAAATGCCTTCTCCAGTTTTAGCAGAGATGCGCATTACCTGTTGGATTAAGGAGGACATTTACAAGAAATTAAGTCATCATTGGGTTGGGGGCAGGGAGGGGAGGGCAGTATCTGCACCAGAATTCTCCATCACAGGCAGAGTGGATGAACCAGGGGCTCAGGGAAATCTAACCCCCAGACTACCCTTTCTGCCTGGAGGCACTACCACAGCCCAGAGAACCAGGAAGGAATGACACAGCTCTCCCACTCTCTTCCAGTGCTGGGCAGTGCAGCCCCAGAAGCAGAGCAGCCTACTTGAGCTAGGGCCAGCAAGCAGGAGTGGGGCCTCATGGCAGACAGTAGGCACAGCCCATGAACAAAATCCTACTAAAGCAAACTCAATCTTAAACACGATTCTATTTTTTTATGCAGTTTATGTTGTGTCTTTCTGATGAGACTTGAAAACCAAGCTTCTGTCACCTTCAAAATGATACTCTCATTCCACCGTACTTGTTTTTGCTTAAGTAGTCTTGAACAAAATTTCCCCTCCCCTCTTCTCTGATTATGCTTATCCCCATGCATTTACTGCCTGTCAGTAATGAGATCTGTGTATTTGTACAATTTAAAGGTAAAATATACAATATTACTACTTAATTGGGAAGTAAACTGGATATTCTCAACTACATTTATAACTAATATAGCATAAATATGAAACCGTCCATCATTCAATACTACAGTAAGAACAACATTTTAACTTCACTATCCATTAGAAGAGTAATTGTAAGTGAGAAAGCAGATGTCCAAGCCATTTGAAACAAATTCTAAAAAGAGAAAAATGTTTTTATTCATACTCAGCCTTCCCCAAAAAAGCACTCCAGTTCATTTTTTCCCTTACTATTAACACTGTTTAATAGACAAGGTATCTGTTGAGAAACTCTCACTCAATGTGATACAATTTTTAGAAATGACATATTGGGTGTTGCACTTTTGCTCATGCTGTAAGCGTTACCATAGTAACACTATTAAAGATCAGATTACTATATTCTTGTATAATGTCTCTTGAAACTTAAGCTTTACTGTTGTAATGATTGGTTTGTTGCTGATATTTAGAGGACAAGAAACTATACAGACAGACAACCTCTTTTTATCTAAGTAATACTATCACTTCAAAATCTAAACTTCTGCTGCCATGGTTGGCAATGCTAAGAAGGGAAGACACCGGATTCTGCCAGTTGATGTAATCTCAAGTCACTTGTCATCCTTCCTGATTTGTGTATATATGGAGCAGAACTGAACCAGATGCCATGGGAAAGTCTACTACATTCCCTACTAAAATTTATGGGGTAAAGATTTCAGCTCTGTGTAAATTGCTCTGCTGCTTAAACAAATTAATCCACTAATTACTAGACACTGCAAAGCACAAATGTATATTCTACCTAGGGATTTAAACGATTACTCTATTAACCAATAAGCATATTCTTATCCGATAGTCGACTCAACTAGTCACTTCCCCCCCTTGCTGCCTCTATCAGAAAGAGGCAGCAAGTGGGGAAGCAGGTGCTGGGGGAGGGGGGAAGGGAAAGGGAGCTGATTTAAAAGCCAGGAGCTAAAAATTTGACAAAGAAGCAAAGTAGTAGTTCTCCTGCTTTCTGAAGTGACATCAGTCATTAACTGAATTTCACATCACTGGGAATACATGTAGTGGGAGAATAGGGCCAGAAAACTATGACCAAGCCTTATGCAGTCCAGCTGAATAAATCTGTCCAATAGTCCATATTATCAAGTGTCCAGGAAATCTCATTTATATATAAAAGCATTACTATTGACTCTTGGCATAAACTATAACATTCTACTCATTTGTATTGTAGTAACACCTAAAGGCCCAAAGAATCAGGGACCTACGGTGCTTATACTAAAATCTCATGAAATGCATCACAAGTGGGTATTACATCAAGGAGGAAACCAGAGAGAGAGAACAAAATGGATAATAGTAGCTACATATGTTAGAATGTTTTACAATAAAATGGTTCCCAAACTTCTTAAATCTATAGAAATGATTAAAAATCAGCAAGCACCAATAACCCTCAGTCTAGCCATTATCAGTTAGCTGTAGGTATCATGGCAGAAGTAAGTTCTGATGAAGGACATGAACAGAAAATATCTTTCCAAACTAGTCCAGAGAAAGTATCCAATAAATAAGGGACTATATGAAAGTAGCAGCAAAGATTTTTTCAAGTAGAGATGCACAACTGGGATAGGAGACACTTTTACATAATATATTCAGGTGATTAATATGTAGTTAGGCTAAAGTTAGGTCCTCTAATCTATACACCTCTTCTGAACAAAATACAACATTTATAAAAACATACAAACCTTTGGTCTCCAAACCTTAGAACGCTTGCGAAGTAGTTTCATAGCACTAACATATTCTGCTTGTATTCGACGTGCAGGCACAACTAAATCCCCATCAGCTTTAGTTACAGCAACGAGATCTGCCATCTCAATTATACCCCGTTTAATACCCTGAATGGAACAAGGAAAAGGAGAAAAATTAATGTTTACAAAAATTGTGTTAAGGCTCAGTCATAAAAATTTGATAAACTGATGACGCTTATTTGTTGTATTATCTCACACTTTGACTTTCTTAACCTTTAGGTTCCAGGAATTTCCTAATATCAGGACTGTCCAAGTTTCATTAGTAATTAGGCAATTATGACTTTCTGAACCATTAAATTCACATATTTATTCCTCTAACATGAGAAACTAACATCCTTTATGTATGTATAACATGGATTGGTATAATTTACCAGAAAGGATCATAATTGAGTTTGCTAAACTAATCAACTTGTCATGTACCCATTGCTAGAGTTCAAAAGTGACAATACATTAATCATATCTAACTAATAAAGTGGATGAGAAAAGAGACAGGCCAGAACCAAAACTTTAAATCCTAACACTGGTAATATTTGGGAAAATTAAGATCTAAATTTTGCAATCAAGTTAGAATCTTACCCAACTTAAGTGACAGAAGAGCGAGGATACCACCAAACATTTTGGAAAATGCTACTGAAACTTGCTTACTAGAAAATGCATACATAACATTCCAAATTCAGACTTATGTTTAGGGATGATAGATACCGTGTAATTCAATAGTTGCATAACTGCATGAAATCTTAGCAGTTGCACAACTATTCAATAGTCCCCAGAAGTGCAGTTGGCAGTCAGTGCCCTCCTGGTTCCACTCCTGGGGAGGCCCCTGCCACCCTGCACTGCTGCCTCTCTATCAGAGACAGCAGCACAGGATGGCAGGCAGGAACTGGTTTGCCAGCAGAGCCAGTTTAAAAAGCCAGCTCCCTGTGCAGACTCCCTGCCTCCCGCCTGCCTCCCTGCACAGAGCTCAGTTCTCCTCCCCAAGGAGCAGCCTCTGTCCATGGTGGGACCAGGCCACTGTGGACAAAAGCTGCTTTGCAATAGCCTCTCCTGGCCCCCCTCACCTCTTCCACACTGATAGAGGCAGCACCACAGAGCTGGTGCTGGGGGAACCAGCTTTTAAGTCAGATCCCTGCAGCTCCTGCTCGCCCCCCCCCCCCTTTGCTGCCTCTCTAGGGGGCAGCAAGGCAGGGGCAGGTGGATCAACGGGACCCGACACGCATGGGAAACTGGCTAGAAAGAGGGAGCAGTGCAGAGGGTGAGGGGGACAGGCAGATCCAGTGTTTGTGGGGAGCTGGCAAAGCCAGCTCGTCACGGGCACTGGCTCCCGCTCCCACTCCTCCCACCCTTGCAGCCTCTGATACAGAGGCAGCAACAGTGGGGAGAGTGTATGTATTGGACAAGATTAACTGATAAACCAAGGATTATCGGTTAATTGTGTAGTGGACTACACTTGACATCCCTACTTATGACCTAAAACATAATTAGCATTTCAAAAAGATAAATACCTGTAACTCATCTCCTCCTGCTGGTGGTAATAGCAAAACAAACATATCAACCATATCAGCAACAGCAAACTCCGATTGCCCCACACCTGAAAAATTGAAACCAGAATTGACCTTTCACAGTCATCCTAATGACAGTACTAAGCAGAGGTCTCTCTATGGCTCCCTCTCTTAGTGAGCTGAACAAAACTGGATACAGTGAAGGTCAGTATGAAATCTAGTTTATTTGTGAAAGGTATGGACCAAAAAGGGGCAAGAAAAGATGAAGTATCAGAAATGGACAAAGAAAAAGAAGAGCATTAAAAAGAAATATGCATTAGCGCAGTAAGTTTACCTGGGAAGTACAATAAGGTGCAAATGCTAAAATTTGGAGAATTTACTTTACAATCACATACCTACTGTTTCTACTAGAATGATGTCATAGCCTCCTCCCTCACACAGCAGGATAGCTTCATTTGTGGTCCTAGTCACACCACCTAATGTTCCCCTGGTTGGAGATGGTCTGATGTAAGCATTCATGTCCCTTGACAGCTCAGTCATCCGTGTTTTATCACCCAAGAGTGAGCCTTAAACATTAACCATTTCAGAAGGGGAAAATAATGAGAGTTAATTTTCAATAGTCAATAAATAGGTGAGCAGATGAATCTCTCTGCTGAAGAATCAAGTGAGCATGCCATAATGTGAAATTCTAACAAGTTCTTGTCTGGCTTCTTTGGCTTGCACAAATGAAAATATCACAAAAATGTAACAGCAAGTTTCTGCAGCTCACTAATCCTAATCAGAGGGCATTGTCTATGACAGCATGGACTGTGCAAGTGCTGAACCCCATTGTGTGACCTGAGAACAGCTGGAATAGCAAACTCTTATCTATGTTATCCCTTCCTGAGGGCAAAGTCTCATCTCCCACTCCACAGTAAACTGCCCAGAGATAAACAGTGTCCTCCAAAGTAGTAACTCTCCTGTAGTCAAATTTTATTTGAATGTAATGAGAATTTATTCATAGGACAAGTGTTGCTCAAGTGTAAAAGGACACAGACCCTTTCAGTCCTTCTTTGTCCTGACCCCTTTCTCTGGTGACCTAAAAATCTGTTGTCTCCACTACACATTCAAGGCACATTCCTTCTAGAAACAACTAATTGCTCAGTTTTTAACTCATAGTTAACCTGTAACATCCCCCTGTAGAAGAATACATTTCAAGAGGGATAGATATACAGAAAGTGATAATGTATTAGATACAGCCATCTATGACAGAAAGATTAAGATCTCAGTTGATACTGCTTAGGTCCCAAGTCAAATGTTTTAATGAAACTTAATCAGCATTGTTCTGTGGGATAGGGATATGAATGACTAGTTGACTATCCGATAAACAAATGCATTAGGATGAAAGCAATATGGGTTTGGACATCCTGATGCTGAAGAGCAAGTGACACCCAAAAGATAGTCACATTGCAACATCATCATGACTTACTATACTGAAGAATCTACCCTGGAACCAAGATACAGAAGTTAAACAACTTGTTCCCATTCAAGGATAATAGCAGATTTTGCCAAGATCCAAGGCAAAGCAGGCATAGATGTGGGGATGGGGGGAAATGAGTTGCAAGTGTATTCTAAATGAAGAGATTATCTGGTATTACTTCCAACCTATACTGTAAAGTTGCAACAGTAACAGTAGTGATCACAGAAAATGAAATTTTCCCTTTCTCCATACAATACCTAATTTCATACAGGAGAGAGCAGCTGTACAAGCCCACCAGTAGACAGCACAAGTTTGGGGACCTCACAAAACTGGAACAATACCTAATTCTACACCACACAAAAAATGATTAAATATAGTACAATATATTGTTCATTAATGTAACTTTATAGGAAAAAACTTTCAACCATGCACAACAGAAACGCAAGATACTATCAAGATTAAATGCTGGAGAGCTGACAAAAAAAAAAAAACTTAAAACACACTCACCACCACTTGTGCTAGAGGAAGGGTCCACAGCCAGCACAGACACTTTGTGTCCCCTCTCTGTAAGCATTTTCCCAAAGCATTCTATAAATGTTGATTTCCCAGCACCAGGGGGACCAGACAATCCTAAGCAATAGGAGGATAAATTCATTTAATGAAATAGGCAACATCATCCACTGATCTTTTCTTCTCAATACTATTCACATGTTGTGGACTAATCCCAAAAATATTTCTATGACAATTACATGTTCTTTTTCATATTCATCATAAGGAAATAAATTTGTCTTTTAAAATATAATTAAGAAAAATAGAATCAGACCCTAGTCCAGTTATTTACTACAAATAGTCTGAGGCCTGTCACTGCTGGTAAGTTACCCCTCCTCTTTTGTACCATACCCATCCACACAAAACCCCCGAATAATAGAGTGGGTTTTTTTTTTTAATTTAATTTACATTGTCTGAAAAAAATAACTTCCCCCTTTCCTTCATCCAGATATATAACAAAAGGCAACCAACTGCTAAAATTAATCACCTTCATAAATCACATATTGGTGGATTTCATCTTCCTATTAAGGTGACTAGAATTACATGTTAAAATTGAATTTTCTAATGAAGAAATCCAGACCTTCCAATTGTGGATTTGCAGTGTGTTACACCAATCTGTTCTGCAAAGGATCATTCAGTTCTCTAATACTTACTCATTCTGCCCATCACAACATAAGATGGATTTCTTTAACCCCTTCTTCCCTCCCCAAAAAGGTTTGCACCATCAAACTTTAAAAAAGTGCAGTACGTCAAATCTTCAGTTTTCAGAAAACATTTAGTATTTATGTTGCTGTTTCAGATACGAAGGTGGTTAACTTGCATGTTAATTTAAAATAACTAAACTACTATTGGCATGTTGCTTTGTGATTTGTGCCTTTCGCTAACATTTAAGATGCCATGTTCCAGTTCTTCCTTCCTTTGGGCATATACATGCATAAGATGGAGGGAGGGAATTGTGCACTACATCACACTACAACAATCCTTCCAATATACACTGAAGTAATTGACAGGCTGTAAAGGGAATCTTACTCATGTCTTCTCAGGTGAAAAGTAGAGAAGTTTAAAGTTGGGTCTTAAATGATAAAACAAATTTTTTTATATTTTTTGATGAAACACATGCACCTCAAGAAAAAAAAAGATACAGCCATTTGGTAATGCTCAACCAAACTTTGACCAGGTGGTGCAGCTATGCCATCTAGACAACCCCTCCCCCCCCATTCTTCAGCTCAACAAAACTAATCTTATCATCCATGAGAAATTCCCCTTTATTCTCCCAGAAATTGAAGGACCATTTTAAAAACTCCTGCTTCCCCCTCCCCCCCCCCAAGTATTATCCAGCCTTGTGAAGAAACTAGTCTTATGAACAATACAAGTGACTCAAAAATGGTCACAAGCTATTAATAACCCAATGATTTCAGACTATATTTCACATTTTCTTAACAATGAAAAATGTCAGGAACAAGAGGTGATATCATAAGATCAAAAAACAGTTACTGGACAGACAAAAAAGGACTGACCCACTCTAAAGGCTAGTGGTTTTCCTTTATTTAACTTTTCTTGTTCTCTGTGGTAGGATAATACCTTCTGAATGAGCACCTGCGCTATCTCCTTTTTCCTGCTCTGAGTTGATTCTACGAGGGTAATGGCCTCTGCCAAGCAGGCTCTGTGCCCTTGGATTAATCCACTGTAAAGTCTGTCTACAAGTCTCTGTTCCTTGACACAAAGTCCCTGTGTTCGTTGGTCTACAGTTGCTTGATAACACAGCCATCTTTTCAAATCACTTGGTGGCAACATCCGCTTTGTATAACACAGGCATACTGAATTAAAAGATTGACAATATGGAAATAGTGATCCAGGAGTGGAATTTGAGTGGAAGCTTTTGAAAGAAGTCTTTCTAAGAAAACGATAGTGAGGTAATCTTCGCAGTAATGACAATGTGCTCATCTTGTTTGGAATCAGAGTATCAGTGGTATCAGCTTAACTAAATTTGCAGACCGCCTAAAAGGAGAAAAAAAATAGTTTTTCAAAATATTGAAATTAACAGATGTAGATTATCTATCTTTTTGGTCAAATCATGAGATTGTATTTTATCCACACCTGTGTCCACAGCATGTACAAAAGAAATTTGCACATAAAATTAGTTATGTAAGTATTCTCTCTCAAAAATGGTATTTTATTCTTATTAGGGAAATATCACCAAGGAAAAACCACACATTAGCAGGATTTAGGACACACAATTATTCATTTTTAAAGCTGAAATTAATCAAATATTTAAAAAAGTTTATACTCCAGTTATAGGAAGAAAAAAAACCTCACTGTATAAAAGCAGTATCCTCTTGGGTACCAGCAAACTTTTTAAACAAAAAACAAAGAACCAAAAAATTGTACCTCAGCAGGTAGGAAAGCTCTCAGACACAGTCCCCCTTCTGTGCTACTGATATAACAGATCTTATATTTATCCAACAGTTTCCTCAGGATCTGTTTTGCTCTGAAGACCATACCAATAATCAAATCAAATAATCTCCTGGATTTTACCTTTTGTACCTTTCCTCCAGAAGTAGATATACTTTGGTATACTAAATAAATGTGGGGAACTTGGAAATTATTTGATAACTTTCATGATTTAAGATGAAGCCTATAAGATCTTATCCACATAGTTATTTTCTGAAAAAAGTTACACAATTGCAGTGCCATACTTGTAGCAACCATGGGAGCATTCTGGAGAAAAGCAGTCAGAAGCACAAAACCTCCATGCTATGCATACCAACTCTTAACAGGTTTAGCCACTGGTTAAAATGTTGGTAACCACCTGAAACTGCATTTATACTATTGCTTCCTTCAGCAGAGCTATGCCAAAATTAGCAGTGACAGGAACTTTTGAAGAAAAATGTAGAAATAGCCTCCCAATGCACGACACATTCCATTCAATAATCCTATTTTCACTTCTTTGTAAGTTTCATAAGCAGCATGCTTCTAGAGCAGGGGTGGACAAAAGTCTCTCAGAGGGCTAAATCTGGCCCTCCTTGGGCTTTGATCCAGCCCACTAGGCAAGTCTAGGCTCCACCCCCTAACTGGTGTGTGCCGCAGGGAAGGAGCTCAGCCCTGTCCCTCCTCCTCCCATGCAGCCTCTGGAGAGGAAGTAGTGCTGTGGTTGAGGCTCCTCAACAGGGCCGGCCCCGGAGGTGCGCTACCGCAGACACTCGGTCTGGAGCCGGCTTAGGAGGCTGGAGGTGCTGCTGCCACAGCACCTCCATGGCTGGCCCTAGGCTGCCTGGGTGCAGTAGTGGTGCCTCTGGGACTGGCCCCAGATCATGGTAGCACACCTCCGGGTTGGCCCCGGGCTGCCAGGGTGTGGTAACGGCAGTGCATCTTCTCACCTTGCCCATCCTAGTTGGCCTGGGAATGGGGGGAGTGGTAGGGCCTCTGCAGGCCAGATCAACTCGCTTGGCAGGCTGGATCGGACCCACCAAGGCCCTTTTGCCCACCCCGACCTTGGGGCTGGAGCAGTCCCAACCGGAGTGGGAGAGGGTGCCTCCAGCCAACCAACTCCTTTCACCAGCCTGCTAGGCTGTCAATGCACCACACCTACTTCTATAGCGGGGAGCCCCAGGCAGCTGTCTCCTTCCTGCCTCAGTGGCATACTGGGGAGCACTGCCTTACTTTCCCACAGAGATGTGAATTGGGCCAGTCCTGTTCATCAGCTTCATAAATGAACTCAAAGGGGTAAACATTGATGTGGCAAAGTTTGTTGATGGTACAAAATTACTCAAGATAGTCAAGTTGAACAGGCCAGTCCGAGTTACATAGGGATCTCATGATATTGGGTGCTGGGCAATAAAATGACCACTGGAATTCAGTTTTGATATCAGCAAAGCAAGGCAGAATGGAAAACAAGTTCATTTGATGATTACCTGTCCTGTTCATTCCCTCACGAGGTCCCTTTCAGTCCTAGTATTCTATGGTTCTATGATTCCCTCTGGGGGCATCTAGCATTGGCCACGGTCAGAAGATCTTTGGTCTGACCCAGAATGGCCATTTTTATGTTCTTATAATCCTAGCCATGCAAATTGTTACCACTCACAAAAGAATTCTTGGGAGTTATTGTGGATAAGTCTCTGAAAATATGCATTCATTATGCAGTGTCAGTCAAAAAAGCTAGTGGAATGTTAGGAATTATTGGAAACAGGGATGCTAATGATTAACCAGTTACTCAGTAAGCATCACCCTTACTGGATGATGCTTACCTGTACCAGTTAACTGACAACCAGACCCACCATGCCATGGCTCCCCACCTGTTGGGATCCTGGTTGACCAATTAAACAGGTATCCTATGCCTCAAGCCCCTGCCATAGCTCTGAGCTTCCATGCATACAAACACACTCCCAGAGCCTGCACCTAGAACCCCCTGCTGCAACCCAACTGCCTGCCCCAAGCTCAGCTCAGAGCCCCTCGCACTCTAAATCCCTTAACCCAAGACCTGAACCTGCACCTCAACCCGCTGCCCCAGCCTGGTGAAAGCGAGTGAGTATGGGGGAAGAGAGGGAGGGAGGATGGCATGAGCAGGACCTCAGAGAGGCGGGGCAAGGAAATTGGATTTGAAGTAGATCTTGGATTGCACTTAAATTCAAAAAGTGATTTAGTGCTTAAAAAGGTTGGAAATCACTGTTCTACCTCCTGGCTAGAGAGCAGAGGAATGGCCCATACTATGTTTTCATCTTTCACTATGTGCTTCCATCTTACTAAGACAGTAAGCAGCATCCTGGTATGAATTTTGGAGGAGGGGCTTCAAATGACACCCTTGCCCCCAACACTCCTCTTACATACACCCTAGCCCCCTGCTTTTAGCTCCCCACCCTCCTAACCCTGATTCCTGGCTTCCTTCCCCACATCTCCACTCCCTGTCCTGAGCCCCCTGCACTCCACCCCATATTTATTTTCTTACAAGTACTGTCATATTGCAGTACTTCTCTCCTCCCCAAGCTCCCCTGGGGTAATGAGGGATGCAATATGACAGTACTTATAAGAAATTTATGTTACTTTGTAGATAAATCTATGTATTAAGTATATTATTTCATATGACTCGGCATTGTGCCTTGTAACTTTGTATTAGAACCTGAATCCATATAACCTTGTAACTTTGTATTAGAACCCTATATCGAAAACTTGTAGAAAACTGGGTAGATAGTTAAAATGGAAGAAAAATGTCTTTTTGCTATGAGTAGAATAAGATCTTTCCCCCACTCTGTAATCAAGTGCCCTGTTGAATGAATGAATGAGCTGTGAATGAGCAGGGCTCGACAAATAATGCAATCTACTCGCCCGTAGCAAGTAGATTGCAACCCTATGTCGGGTAGCCTAATCTACATGCCTCTGGTGACAGAGGCATGTAGTCTAGACGTACCCATATATGACTTGGAAGCCAAGCACCTCCAGACAGCTACAACAGTTGAAGAGGGGGTGGAAGCCAGACAATAAAACTTGTCAAGTGGGCTCAAGAAAGAAAAGCAGACATATTGACAGCCTTGGGGATTAGAGGCAAGCACCTTCTTTGGAAAACACCCTCTCTGAACAGCATCAGGACAACACCCAGAGAAAAGCAGCACAAAGGACCAACGGGGACAGACACAGATTTTGAATCTGGGATAGATTTGCATGAGAGAGAAGCTGCTATAGAAGTGAGGCGTCTTGCAGAGGACCCCGGGTCTCGTCTTGTCACCATCGGAGCATCGATCTGGATCGGCAGAAGCCCGGCTCCACCCCCCCCCCCTCTAACTCACCTGGCCAGTGCCGTTAAGGGGAGCAACTAGTTGGTAACAACAGCAAGACGGGGAGGAGGAGAGAGAGAGAGAGTGCTTGAGTGATATATATAGATCATATGCATATGATAAGTATTGATTTAATCTATATATGTATGTTCAATAAATGTGGTATGTTGCCTTATCCCTCTGAAAAAGATTCCGAGTGCTTCTTTTAAGCATAACATCTTTCACCCCTGGTTACCTTTTGCCATTCTGAAAACTGACCGTTAATTCCCTATCTTAACCATGAGAGCACCTTCCTTTCTTATCCCAAAATTGCTTATTTTGCTTAAAAAGATTTTGATGAAGGATTCTGACAAAAGCCCAAGTGCACCATATTCATTGAATCTTTATCCCCATTTGTTGATCCCATCAAAGATTTCTAGTAGGTAGAGGCATGAATGCCCTTTACAAAAGCTATGTTGAACACAATTTGTTGGGGGGAAGAGTCATCTTTGTGCCTGATAATTCTGTTCTTCACTAGAGTTTCAATTTGGTTGGCACTGAAGTTGGACTTACTACCTGTAATTGCCAAGACTGCCTCTGGAGCCTTTTCTAAAAATTTGCATCAAATGAGTAAGGATATGATTCTGTCACGAGGGCACAGATCCTGGGACCTTCAAGATTTCTTCCAGGACAAGGCCACAGCAGCTAGTGGCCCCAGGGTGCAGCACAGTGAGGGTAAGGGCGGGGTAGGGTGGGGTTGAGTTCCCCCACACACACACACCCCCTCAGGGACTGGAGTAGCAGCATCCAACCAGGCTGGGTCAGCTCCACTGGTGAAAGAGACACCAGAGTTGTGGTCCCCCGCCACTGGAGAACCAACTAGGGGTCAGCCCCGGGGATGCCAGAGCAGTTGGCCACTCCACCAGTTGCTAAAGCAATGATCCTTAGGCCCTGGACCAGTTTCCCCAGGGATGAGGCAATCCTCTGGGGCTGGAACAGCAATAAATCAGGCCCTGCCCACATGAGCAGTGTTGGGGCTGGGGCAGCTGCTGAAAGTCAGCCTTTAGGCTGTGCTCTGTTAGTGTGCCTCCTCTCTCCCAGTATTTTTAATAAAAGTCAGGGGCAGGTCCCGAGAGTCCATTAATTTTGTTGACCAGTCCCCTCACTTTTACTAAAAAGATCCATGACCGAGATGTAACCTTAATAATTTGTTATCCTTCAGTGATCACATGCTGGTTACATCATAAAGCCGGTACTGCTGCAATTTTTTAGAAGACTTCCTTCAGACCTCCAGTGGAAATGCCCTCTAGTTGGGGAACTTACTAATGCAGGGGCCAGCAACCTTTTCAAACCAAAGAGCCAAACTATATGGTCAACAAACAGCCAGTATACGAATGCCCATTTGTATGACTGAAAATAGGGATGTTAAAATGCAATTAATTGACTAGTCAAGTAGCCGATGAAATTTCCATTTACTACTCGATTAGTTGATAGACACTTCTGCATTCCTCTTTTGAAATATACAAGAGCCCCCGCAACACAGCATGGAACCCAGAGTCAGCAGGACTCAGTCTCTCACTGACCCTGGGCTCCAAGGCTTTGAAATTCATTTCAAAGGAGGAATGCAGAACTCCGCGTATAGCCTGGGGCAGTGGAAAGTCCCTCTGACTCCTGTATGCACTAGGGGCTCTTGTGCATTTCAAAGCCATGGAGCCCAGGGTCAGCAGGGGACTCCACAGCTGACTCCGGGTTCTGGGGAAATGCTGCGTGGAGCCCGGGATCAGCTGGGGACTCCCCAGCTCACCCCACGTTCCAGAGAGGAAATACCACACGGAACCCAGAGTCAGCTGGGGAAATACCACTCAGAACCTGGAGCTACACATATTCAAGCTACCTGAGTAACTACACGCTTATAAACTTTTGAATTAATTTTTCATTTGAATTTAAAAAGTTGTATGTATTTTGGGAATGACAGAAGAGCTATAATTGGTTCCATCCTGAGCCATATCTGGCTCAAGAGCCATAGCTTGCAGCCCCCTGGACCAATGTTTAATTCATTGATCGGTTCCATTTTAATTTTAAAAAGGTTCCATAATGTCTCAGAGACCAGTGCTGACATGCGCAGAAGAACACGGAGTCTCAATAACAAAACGTTACTGGCGCACACAGCGCCTCGGAGTCCTAGGCAGGGACCAGGCTGCCCCAGCGCTGCTGCCCAACACAGGGAGGACGGGGACGCTCAGCTGCTCGGTCTACCAGGGGCTGCTTGTGTAGCCCCGACAACGGGCAGCAAAAGTGCTAGAACTGACTCGTGAGTCACTCACACAAAACCCGGAGTCTCAATAACAAAACGTTACTGGCGCACACAGCGCCTCGGAGTCCTAGGCAGGGACCAGGCTGCCCCAGCGCTGCTGCCCAACACAGGGAGGACGGGGACGCTCAGCTGCTCGGTCTACCAGGGGCTGCTTGTGTAGCCCCGACAACGGGCAGCAAAAGTGCTAGAACTGACTCGTGAGTCACTCACACAAAACC